AAAAAAAAAATTAAAAATGAAAATAATATTTGTTAATAGTAATATAAATATCAATAAAGCTTTTTATTGATAGATACCCGTATAAATACTGACGTTGAACAACAGCTATATGTCAGTTTTTTTTCGCCTTCAACAGCTGCAATTTGGAAGCTTAATTTGTCGTCGTCAAATTGTGCCCGATGACAGTCGCTGTTGGTGTTCTGTAGGTTCTTCGTTTCTATGTTACGACTAAAACAGTTCACCAATACAGTTTTTTGTTTTTGTTTTGTCTTCAATTTTTTTTTTCAAGTAAAGCAAAAATAAAACAAAAAATACTCCTGGTATTGCATTTTCCACCAAACTGTATAAATAAAGTAAATCAAATTTTTTTTGCTCTGATAAGTTTTTGCATTCTTTGAAGATTTATTACACCAATCGTCTTTCGTACACTGATTATTGTTACAGATACTGTTATAGTTTATGGTTTCTTATAACTGCTGCTTCATCAGTTGCTATATCAAAGGTTGGTTTACCAACAAAAAAAAAAAACTTTTTCAGTAACAAACACAACGATTTTCAGTACGGTATCGAACTAAGCTAAGTGGAATACTTTCTACAGTCGAAAAAACGTTTATTTCTTTAATTAGTTTTACTTCTTTAGTTGCTAGCAGTTGCTAAATTTATCAGTGCATTTGCAGCCAGATGTCAAAAACGTCAACACTGTTCAAGAAGATCGGCAGCATACCGCAGCGGTATCGGAACAGCCTGTAAAACTGGAATCAGTTTTGCCATCTGATGAACCCGGTTTATTGCCTGATGAATTGAACGACAACCAGGCAGTAGGAGAAACCAGCGAAGACTCAATACAAATTGTTCATCCACTGCATAGACCAGTTGTTGGCCAAATTCTTCCCCCTGCTATTTACTCAGATATCAGTCCTTATTACGTAATTTCTTGAACTCAAATTTTACATTGTCTTCTGGAAACTACTTTCAACCAAGTGTAACCAAAATGTGGCAAATCTTGCCTTGAAATATCACAACAGTTCTTTGCTTTTTGCGGTTTTAGGAAAACTTTTTTGACTAACTCAAAAATGTGTTTCAGGGTTATGCTTCAATTCATCGTACACGTCCCATTATTGTTTTGGGATACAGCTACAACCCCTGTTGTGCTTTGCACTGTGGTAACCCTTTAAGATACAGATGTAAACCGTCATTCCGTTACTACGATCCTTATTCCACCGATTATTCTCCGCAAATATAACCGCTTAAACTACTGTAACAGTAAAATATTTCTAAGTTTTCAAGAGGCTATTAGTAGCTAAAAATGCTATAATGTTACTGTAACAAAAGACTGCCTAATATTGTTGAAACTTTTCGTGTAGTAAAGTCTGATATTAATGTTTACCTATAAATTGACCAGCCAATAAGCGTTCTTCTTTTTATATGTATGTACGTATGTTTATACGTTATGACTTTGTCCGATTTGGCTATAAGAGGTATAAAAAGATAATGACGTATCAACTTTGCGGTAATACTTTTATTAAAAATTTATTAGTCTAAGAAATCTTATCAATGCCCGATAAAGACATAAAACATTAACAAAAAAAATGCATAGTAATTCTTGTTGAAATTAGAAGTTTCAGAAAAAACTGCAACAGATTTTGAAGCTACTGTATAAGAAAAACCTCAAATTTTTTTCAACTCAGAAAAACAAAAAAAAATTGCAAAAAAAAAAAA